CGGGTGCTGTGCGGCAGTGTGACGAGCGCGACGCTCAGCTTTAGCACAGCCAAAACACCAAACGCCCCCACACGGTGTTGTGCTGTGAACTGCTGACTAGGCAGGCGGCGGCGGCAGCAGACCGGAATATGGGTGAACAAAATTCAAAACGACAACGCGAAAAGGGGACACACTTCAAAAAGAACACACTGCAAAATAAGCAAACAACAAAAAAAAAAATAATAATAAAAATAAAAGCAATCTTCATTTGAGGGGGAGAACACGTTTCGCCGCCGTGGCACATACATACATACTTACGCCGTAACCGAAATGAAGACAATGTCGCCGAAGTGGGCGACACAACTGCCACACATCACAGCGCCGACCATATGCCGGCGCGTTTGTGTATTTGTAGTGTAACTGTGACTGTTCGTGAGTTTGGCTGGCCGAATGTGTGTGGCGTCGGCTGCAATGCGTTCGCTGCGAAGTAGTTGTAGCGGCCGACCAAGTGCAACAAAGCATCTGTTGGCGTCACTGATGACTTTGCAAACAAATCAACTATTTGTATGGTTTGCACCATGGCGCTGCTTATTGTAGTAGCTGCATTTGTGGCACAGCTAGTTGGCGCGCTATTACGTTGTGCTGCGCTCATGCAGCTTGGTGCCTTATTTTTTCATAACGCAGAGCCTGCATATCCACCCACTTTGGCTTAAGGTTATCGCCGTTGTGGGAGGGCCATGACGAACTCGGCGATAAGCGAGCAGAAAAAAACTTGTTTGTTTTCAGTCAGTAGACTTCGGCTCGAAAGTGTAATATGGGTTACTCCTGCTTTCAGCAACCTCTTTTGCGGAGTGAGAAACCCCTTTCGTAAAGATAAAATAATTCTCGGGTTGACATTGCGCCGCTTTTGCTTTGCTTTCATTCCGTTTTATGCACTCATCCGTTGTGTTTATTTGCCAACTCCGCTCTACTGACTCATCTGCCCGCCGCGGCAGTGGTGGCGTTGGCGGTGCACTTCAAAAAGCGCAGCTCGAAAGACGACCTACTACTTTGAGCAAGGCAAGGCGTCTGAAATGCCGCGCAATATGCCCGAAGATCGCAAATTGCGTAGGAATTAAAATAAAAAGGACTGAAACGCGGGTGATCGTGCTTCGTCTCGGCATTACTTACATATGAAATCTGCGCGTGTGTGAGTGTGTGCCCCACAACCCATTGACAATTTGTCTTCCGAGTTTATGGTGTGCAAAGTGGGTACACTCATAACCATCCATCTATAATGCAGCCTACCTACGCACTCTGCTGCCCTGTTTGTCGAAATTCAAGCGAAGTTTGTGGCCCGCCGCACTCCTTTGGGTGTGTGTGTGTGTGTTAAGTGTCTTTAATTTTATGTGGAATTCGGCGAAGGAATTTTCGAACGGCGCTGATTTGGGTGTCGATTGGGATGGCATGAAATTTAGTGGCAGAAAGGAGTGGATTGAAACTTTGTAGTTTTTTAAGAATATTTTTTATCAAGATGTTTTGCGTCTTTTGCCGTTTTTTTTAGCTCTTTTATCAAGCTGTGTTGTGAAATTATGTTAGTCTTGTGCTTTAGTAGTTTTAAAACTGAACTCAAATTCAATATTTATACTCTTCTTTGGTTAAAATTAATTATACAATTCGTAAGATTCACCCATTTCTCAGATTAATCTTTATATTGTGTCTTGATGATGCTGAAAGTTGGTGCTACTGCTTTTACCATCGACGCTTAAAAGTGTTTTAGAGGAATTTACAAGAAACCACTCTTATTGAAAGAAAATTTTATTTTCGGTTATAAAATGGTTAACCATTATATAAAATATACTTTCATATTGATAAGAAATTGAGTTTCGGTTATAAAATGGTTATATATTGGTTATCATACACTCATATTTTGGTTATAAAATGGTTATATATTGGTTATTATATCCAACAGCGATTTACGATATTTTCCTTTGGTGATATGTTGTTTTGTTTTTTAGGTGACGATATGTAA